TGTCAATTTTATTATTTTGGACTTACATGTGCATATTACTCGATTAAGCAAATAGCCCGCAGAAATAAGAGGATTTACGTCGTGTCACACGACAACCTCGGAACCTAAGGCGAGTTAGGGCTTACGCTGCACAACATGGTTGTACAGGAGCCTAAAGAAGATGTGAGGATTTACGTCGCGTTGGGCAAACTACCTCGAAGTCCTATAGCTTGTTATATGCTAGGAAGAGATAATGCTGAAGAAGATCCTCTTGCTATTCGGCCTGAATTCCTCGCCGTGCTGCCCAAAAATTTAGCTCCAAGCTCCTATCGTAGCGATGCCTCCAGTACCTAAAGAAGATGTGAGGATTTACGTCGCGTTGGGCAAACTACCTCGAAGTCCTATAGCTTGTTATATGCTAGGAAGAGATAATGCTGAAGAAGATCCTCTTGCTATTCGGCCTGAATTCCTCGCCGTGCTGCCCAAAAATTTGGCTCCAAGCTCCTATCGTAGCGATGCCTCCAGTATTTAAGTGTTTGAGATTGGTGATTTGTGTTCCAGTTTTTGTGTCAAAGTTTAGTTTTGTTTTGTTTCAGTTTTGGTTTTGCATGCAAAGTAGTCAAATTGCATGTACATAAAAGGTACTTTAAAGGTAAAATACAATAAAGTAAAATGTTGTAGATAAATTGAAAAAACGTACCTGAGCATCTGCTACAGTTGTGCGATTAATATTGTGATCATAGTATGATTTACAGCATATTTAAACATACTTGCAAGAAAAATAAATAAAGCAAGAAAACTTAGCATGAAAGTCATAAAAACGAGTAGTAGAAATCACGATCAAAAGAAACCTGTAACCACATATGATAGCTCAGGACTAGATATAAGACATTGGTAAAAGTGGAGGCTCAGAGCTGGGCTGTGTGCTTCCCGACCTTGAGTAAGAGTTGCCAACTCGACATTCTACCAGAGATAGTTCTTAACCTCAATCCAAATGACTAACCATGGACTTTAATAAATTTTCATAGAAAAATTATTTGATTTTCATGCAAAAGTTGTTGTTTAAATCTTTTTTGTTCTTTTTAACATGCAAAAGAGATTTTGTTTTATTTTCATAAATATTTTTGTAAAGCCATATAGTCCACAGGTTAGTCACTCAAATCGTGCTAGAACTACAAACACTCTAAGAGCGT